CGTACACACGAGAGTCTCTTTATCACCGGCACACCACCGCCAGCGACACGATTTACCGTCACACACCGGTGTTATGGATTTATGAACACCATTATCTCTCTCTCTCCATCTTCTTGGTTCCTTTTATTTCGCCTCTTTAAGTTCTGTCTATTCGGTTTCCTTTGGAGGCTTGCGCTAGATCCTTGGAATCTCCGACTGGCTTCGACGCACACCTCCGGTGAGGCGGGCGGCTGTCCTCGAATGGGATTCGCGGCGTTTGTTGCCAGTTAACGTTTTACGATAGTAACTGCCGCTATTGTTGCTCGTTATTGGTGTCATTGTTCCAGCGCTATATTCGGTATCGGATCGAGCTTATGGAATCGAATGACATATCTGTATTATCGTGATGTTGGGGAATAGTTTCGTGTCTGGGACACCGAGAGAAAAATGATTTAATTACTGAAATGACTGAGTGAGCGAGTAGTCTTCTAGTGATTTAACCAGTTAACTGTGGAATTTAGAAAAATAAAATATGGAGCGTGTACTCGTCGAACGCAGGACGAATGCACGTAGTATATTTTAATGAAAGATCAAAGAACAAAGAATTACATGTTTACGTGAAAAAATAAAGAATTCATGAAAGACACAGTTAACTGGTTGAAGATACAGAATTTAGCTCGCCGAGCTGCAGTTTTTGGATACTCGAACTCCCCAGTCGTAAAGAGTTAATTTCTCTAATATCTCGCGAAAGCAGAGTTTTAATTGGAACGGCACGTTCGGAGATTCGAAGATTTCTTGCCGCTGTAATGCAGATTTTATGCGCATAATTAGAGAACACGGTAATAATAGAATAGGCAAGCCACTAATGCGATTCGATTAAACGAGAAAGGACAGCTTACCGCGACACTGTTTCCCCAAGCTCGCAGTCGCATCGAACCGTCCCGCTTACAGTTGCATGCTGCATCGATCGATCCTGCTTGTGCATGCTGGTGCATCGACGATTTTCTCGGGCGCCGAGTTGAACCGACGTTACGGAAGTTCGTCGAGACGCGTCTTCTCGATCGGCCGCCGGTTTCACACTATCGATCCCTGGAGCCGTTGGGAACAACGATCTAATACTCGGTAGACTTGTAGAAAATCTAATGTTCTGTGGATCTAGAGGAAGATCTCTAACGCTCTGTAGTCTCACAGATTTCTGATACTCGATAGTTCTACAAAAGCGACCTCTAATTCAGAATAGACCTAAAATGCCTCTCCCACGCTCAGTAGTTCAAACAAGCTTTTTAACCCTTTGCACTCGACAATATTTTTTACTAAAAATATTCATTACTTTCTGACTAAATATTAACGATATTTTTCGCAACCAACACAATTGATTATCTTCTATAAATTAAGGGACAGAACTATTTTACTTCGACGTTTTATGTGTTGATACAAGGTTTAATATTGAATTGAAAATTTTATAAATTTGCTGTGTCGAATCAGGTGGCGACTGTACCCCTGTGCAAAGGGTTAATACTCAGTGAACCTAAGGAAACGTCCCTAACACCCAGCAATTCTATAAAAGTATCTGTAAAGTCGCTAGACCTGTATCAAGCTATATTCTACAACCTTACAAACCTATCTATCAATCTCCAATCTATAACAGACTCAAAAGTTTCCATTCACAAAACCTAGGAAATCTTCAAAACCTACTTCCAAAAAAACTCTAGCGTCCGTTGCATCGAACCTGGCACTCTCGTCTAAGTGGTCAGATTCGAAGGCGCTGATTGGCCGAGGCGGTCACGCCCACCGATCGCCTCGCGCGCGGTGGGCGTGGAGAGTCGCTTCCAGACTCGCGATTGGATTCCTCGGAGACTGTCTCCGCCCCTATGTCGCGAGTGCCAGGTTCCAAGCAACTCATGGTGTTTAGCACAGAACAGCGCGAAAGATAGTGTGAAACCAGCTCAACGGAGCACGCGGTCCTCGTCGAACTGAACGCGCGCGTGTCTCGACCCGAGAAATAACCGGGAAGAATCTACCCCCTAAACGAACCTTTGACCCGTGCAACCCCGTCGTGTCCCGACGAGACTTGAAGGAGCTCGATGACGGTTTCACATCGAAAACGAGGAGAACGTCCCCAGCGGGGTCTCAAGGAACATTTCCCTATGGTCTCGTTTGTCCGTCGGATGCCCCGGCGGTCGCTTCTCGAAGCCTTTCTCTTCGTTTCCCTCGATGCTCCTGTTCGGTTTCACTTCGGTGGTCATCTCCGGAGGATGAAATCGAAGGGAAGGATCGGTCGTCGCGCTCCTTGCACGATCCACGGGACCCACGTCCCGAAATTCTTCGGCGCGGTCTCGAGGACACTGGCGGAACGGCCGACGTTGGAAGGAATCCTTTCGGGCTGATCGTCGTCGACGTCCTCGACGACGCCTGCACGTCTGACACCGTGAACCGCACTCTCCAGCACTTGGTACCTTGGCCTGTTACCCGGTATCCCTCGTCTGTCCCGTTCAGCCTTCTTTTCTTTTGTTTCGCAATTGGGACTCGGTCCTGGGGGTGATCTTTGACTGTTCACTGCGGGATACGAACGTCACTGATGATGATATTGCTTTCAGCCAGAGGTAGAATAATCGTTTTGTAGCGGGAGCAAGTGAAGAATGGAACGAGAGGATAAAGGGAGAAGAAAGTGATTGATTAATGAATTGAATGGAGGGTATAGAAACTTTAGTATATAAATTGAAGCTAATAGATAGTAGTTTTATCTTCATGTTAGTTACAAATATTTATTAACTTATTTCGAATGAAATTCTACTCGATTCTGCATTCTCGTCGGTCGTATATAGAGTGAAATCGTAAAAATATTAGAGTGTATAGAATCGCTATTCCCGCAGCGCGATCACAATGGAACGAATAAAACAAACAGTTCGCAGAAAGTGGAGGACGTAACGTCACACGGTGCCTCGGTAATTAACACAGGGCCATTTCCCTCCGAAGAGCGGCTTTTCATTACGATTCCCTGCAAGTGGTATCGACCGGCCGATACCGGAAGTCGAGGAGTCGGTCTCGCCCTCGGCCGAGTCTTTATTGTTTAACTTCTTCGATTTCTCTTCTTCCCCTCTCTCGTTTCCACCTCCCCGTCGAATGATCGACAATCCCCGACCCTGTTCTCTTATTTTCTTCTTTCTTCTCGATTGCTTTCTCCCTTCTTCAAGAAGATTAACCAACGGATGATTCGTAACTTTAATTTTGGAACGGATACACCGAGAACGAGAGAGAGAGGAGAGACGACAGTCGTGTTCTCGATAGTCTCTCTCTCTTTCCCTTTCTCGCTGTACCTTCTTCCGTTAATTTACATTGAAGAGCAACATTTAATGAACATATGAATATATATTTCTATACTGTGTTTAACGTTGACGCAGCCAGTGTCGTCTCTCTGTGGATCAGCTGGAACTCCGTTCGTCGATCCCGAGTCGACCTCGGATCGAACTCGACGTCGCGACCAGTGGGCCGAATTAAACGCTAGAACGATGCGACGCCTCGATTGTCGACGCTTTTATTCGATAACTCGTTAATTGCGGAGTAGGTGTGTCGGTCTGAGCTGAGAAATAGACGAGTCGCTCGGAAGCCGATGCAGTTAAGTTCAGAAAAACCTTGAAGGAATTAATGTTAATGGATTAACGACCCAGCCAAGACCTAACCAATAATTTGAGATAATAATAATAATTTATCAATTTGACCAGGAAAGTATATAAAGTCTCAAATAGATTCTGCAACGATAGAATATCATTTACCCCATGAAACTTTACAAGAACCATAAAATACCAACGAATCGACTTTCGTTATTCTCATTAGAGTTACAGTACATATTCATAGTCCTTCATTAGAGCGACTCGAATCACAAGGCAAAGAATTAACCCTCTCAATTCCAAAATCCACTGAAATCAAAGGAAAATCCAAGAATCGAAATTATTCACAAACATTCGCACTTCTGTATAAAGCGTGAACATTCTATAAGATTTGAGAGAACTAGATTCTCGTCAATTTTAGGAGAAATTGCTTACGGATGATTCGAGATACTCGGCAGTTCTAGGGTCGAAGCTCGATATCCTAGCAAAAGCTAGAGAGGGAAGCTAACAAGCCTACTGATAGCGTGGATTAAGTTCGAGCCCGCTGGTCAGTGTTCTATGCTTTCAGTGTCGGCTTCGGCGTCGACGAGCACGGGGAACGTAGATCCGTTTCAGCTTCCGGGGATTTGTCCCTCGATCCCGTGAATCGCGGCGCACCCGGTGACCCCGTGACCGTGTTCGCCGAGTGGTTTTCGCAGTCGATGTCTCGCGACACTCGTGTTCCACGGAGTCCAGCTGCTCCACAGTGAAGCTGTTCCTCGCGATGTTCGCGTTTGTCCAAAAGAAGTCGAACTTTTTTCAAGAATCTCGGACTGCTTTTCGACTTCGGCGAGACGCGTCGGGGAAACGAATGATTCCAAGACTCTCCCGTCATCCTCGCGAAGTATCCGACTCTACAAAGATAGAAATTTCCTTTGGACTTCGAGACTCTGAAAATTCTGGCTTTTCTCCAACGCGACTCGCTGGAAGAAATCTCTCGATCAAGCTTCATTGTACAGGCGACGTTTGATCGCTGAATATGGAGTACATATTGTTACGTTTCCGAGTATCTGTCATAGAGACTGTCATTATAGAGTGAGTCATCTACAAATTTAGATCGTGTCAATGTCGTTCACTTCGGTCGTCTGTATTTAATTGATCTGCAATCGTTGAAGTTTGAATGTTCAGTACAATTAGGAACACGGAATTACTATAGAAACTAAGTTTCTCGAGAAAGCTATGAACGCGTAAAATTCCTAGGTCTAATTATCTATATACACAGTGTCCACAGTTATTATCGAGAACCGACGCCTCGGCGAGCGTAACAATATCTACACGCAATGAGAAAAAAAAGAAAGAAAAGAAAACTAATAAAATACGAAACAGACTGTCGCATATCCGTATACGTGATGTGTATGTGTGTATGTTGTACAGAGGATAAGAAGGGCGGCGTCGACCGGAGCAGCACGGTCATTGCCAAAGAACCCGAAGGTAAACTAGCACATACCGGGGGCCGAGAAAACACGCGCCACGCGCGATTTTCGACGTCTACCCGTCGTTCCGTGTGTGACACATGTGTAACCACCGTATATGTGTCCGTACCCCCTCTGTTATCTGTAAATGTGTATAAACATTATACGTGTATTTACATGTGTGTGTTTCCCGTGTAAACGTCCAACGAATCGAGTCTGGCTCCTCCCGAACGCCGAGCAACGCCTCGTTCCGCGTCCGCCAACCCCTTGCCTCGCAACATCGGCTCGAACGGAAACTTCGAAACTTCAACTTCTAACCTCTAGATCGAATGTACAATGAGTTACGTGGTTCGTAATTGTTTCAAGAGATTAATATTTAATTTAGGATAAAGAAGATGTTTCTAAACTCGGGATCTCTAGGAAATCTGAACGAAATTTATGAACTCTTGCCATCTGCATCGCGAAGGAAGTTTTCCATCATGAATTTTTAACCTTGAAATAAACTGTAGAATTAATTATGAAGTTCATAATTGTATCAAGAGATTAATAGTTAAGTTAGATGTTTCTAAACTCGAGATCTCTAGAAAATCCGAACGAAACTTATGAACTCTTGCCATCCGCATCGCGAAGAAAGCTTTCCATCAATGTTTAACCTTGAAATCAACTGTAGAATGAATTATGAAGTTCATAATTATTTCAAGAGATTAATAGTTAAATTAGGTAAGGAGAAAGACAGCTCCTAAACCCGGAATCGCGAAGAAACAGCATCTTCCCAGCACCAACGTCTAATCTCGAAATCAAATATACAACGAACAAAGAATTCTCCTTCGTCGCGTGAAACATTCAGCATAGAAGCATCCATAACAAGCTTCGAAAGGGATCCTGAAAGGTGAAATCTAGTTCGAAACGTTCTCTGTGAGTCCACATAGATGTCAGAGAGCAAGGGGTTGATCCGAAACTCTGATTCGACCCTGGAAGTGCTCAACCGCGAGTAAAGTGTGGGCCGGAAGCGAGCCGGCGAACGGGAGGAGCCAATCGCGCGAGGGGCTCAGCAACGAGCCGAGCTTTTGCACCCTGTCTGTTCCAGCTTCCGCTAACTTGTACTTCGGATTGACCGTCTCTCCAGCCTCCTCTCGTTCCGCGTCGCGCGCCGGAACCGTTTGGCCGCGTTGCGCTTTCCCCGATCGGTCCGCAAATTAACCGTGCGATCAGGGAATCGGCTGCGAGCCTCGATCCTCGTCAACTTCATCGAGGAAATCGAGTATTAGTCGGCTCCGCCGTTGCAACCGAGTGTCCGCGGCACTCGAGTCGAGTCTAAAGCGGACGCGCAGCTCGATAGCGCGGGATTGATTAGGCTGATCGCTGTAATGATCGGCGGAGATCGATTACTCTCTGCGATCCAAGGGTTGGGAAGGTTGGTAGATTGTGCTCTCGAATTTAGCAGAAGTATCGGTAGATTCGGATAGTTCACAGCTTGTTCGTTGTATGTAATTAGGAAGGGGTTGGACAATCTTACTTCAGTCGCAGCTGCGAACTTGCGATTACAATGGAATACTGTAACATACACTTTCACAACTATTTCCAAATACAAAGCCGACTTTCTTTCAACCCTTTGCACTAGGATGTTCGTTAGGAATATTCAGCGTTCTCAATGACGTAGAGTATTCTTCGAAACGAAGCGAATGGAGGACATATAAGTTGAAAGGAATTTATTATTCCAGTATTATCCATATTTCTCTCAGACGAAGCGTAACCCTTAGCACTCCAGGTTCTTTAGAATCTATCAGGAACTGCAACTAATTTCTATAGTATTCCTAGTATTCATTCAAATATTTAATATTACAACTGGTGCAATATTGGAGCCTACAGAGTTCAAAGGGTTAAAAGAATCCCTCGTCTAACACTTTCACCGCCAAGTAAACGCTCGCGAAAGCTTCAACGCAGTCGAAACTCTAGCAGTAATTACACAGTCAATCATCCCAATTACTCTAGCACTTCTATCCGATACATCCAACAATACCCTGATCCATCGTGATCCATCCAGATCAACGTTCAAGCCTATACAAGCAACGAACCAGCATTCAGCTGACGCGGCAGTCAGTGTCAACACATTGAACGCCGGCTAAATTTCAGCTACTAAAGACGCGAGCGTCGTTGATTATATTACTACATTTTTAACACTATATTTTATAAACATTATTTGGTAAATGTTTCAATCGCTTCTCGTTGATCCAATTACACGAATATGAATCCTGATTAAACCAACATTTCTGACTTAGAGAATCAGGAATTCGATTTTAATTTTACTTTGGATTCGTCATACATATCTAAAATGTTACATGAACCATTAGCAATTAAACGATAGAAATGCCGCATTATCATGAGCGCTCAATGTGTTAAAACACTCCATCGACCATCTCCATGGAAGTCATCGAATGCCCACCAAGTACACACACTAGATAATCGCGAATGATCAGCCTCGTACTTGGCATCGGATTCCCAGCGCAGATCGCGGCGGCGCGCGTGGCCCGCTGTCAACGGAAATACCTGGCCGCTTGGCACCGCTTGAAAATAGATTGGCAGACAGTGCGCGACCGAGCGGCCCAGCTCGATCTTCGATTTTTCCTCTTCCCTCTTCTCCGCCGTTCGCGGAGGCGCCGGAACTTCGACGCGCGCGGCCCGGAGGAGCGGAAGTCCTTTTCTCGCGGCTCTCCGCTCTTTCCGGTTTCGTTCTCCGAAGAGGAGAGCCGATTCTAACGGGTGGCCGACTGATTCGGAGGGAAGAGCACGGGATTCTCGAGAATGTCGGCCGCCGCTGGCCTGCCCGGCTCCTCGAAGCAGCCCGACAATCACGGTGAGCGACTGCGCCGTTGTTCGGTGTTCGACGGTTGCGATCGCCGATTGCATCGGGGAGCGGAGATCTAGCGACGTGCAGACGCGTCGAAGTTGTGGGTTGATTCTCGAGTGGAATGCGAAGGTAGGGAATTAGTCCAGTGGGGTCTGTGGTGAACGTCTGTGCAGGGATCTTTGATTAACACTGGAACTACTGTGCCAGTCAACATGACTGGTTTCGATTGTTTTGGAATTATTGATATCTGAAGAGCATTGAATATAAGTGATTTTGAAAGTAAGTAGGTTCAGTGGAATACTATAATGAATGTTCGAAGAAAATAATTTATTGTTAAAATTTTTGTAGGGATTACATATCAACCGTTTTAAATCCGTAGTTCTAGTGTTAATAACGAGATCGGTTGATTTAGTTGCGGAGAGTCTGTTTCATACAGTGTTTATATTATCTCTGAATTATTGTGAATAGGCAATGTTCAAGCCATCGAACAGATGTCGAAGTTTCTATCTTCAAACGAATGTGACTTCCTGTGAATGGAATAGTGTATAATGAGTTTGCCAAGTCGGGGAAGTCGGTGTCGAGTAATTAGTTTCGCGCGGGCAATCATCGGAGTGTTGGAAAGTGTCTAGATTGAATTTCCCAATGGTCGTTTAATAGATTTCCCTCGGCGTTATCGGTACTCTTCGAGCCCCGTCGACGGGCTATGATTTCAAAAGCAACAACCATTGTTTATCCCGTCGGACAACAGCGCAGCCGACGTCGGTTTAAACGCGCACGCACACTCGCCCGTGAATCACCGGTCGATTTATGTTTGTTGCTGAGCTCACGGCTTCTGCCCGGTGAATGGAGAAGCCGGCCAGCTGACTCTCGTAACATTATGAATTCGCTAGTTCCATCCGATTATAGTCTTCCCGTCCTATAATTAGACGCGTTACATAGTTGTCCTCGCGTACGCGAAACTTCGTTGGTTGCGCAGCGTTTCGACGGAAAATAATTCCGTCTCGGTTCCTCTCGATTTCTTCGTTTAACCCTTCGCGCTACAGAGGCGCCTCTAAGTCACCAAATGATTTGACACGGCGAAACTATAAAGTAGACTTTCTATTCAATAGTTTTAATAGTTTTATTAAAATATATATTGTAACTTTGAAGTTGCAATGACGTTGAACGTAAACGCCTGCGTGTATAACAGTTTAAGTTGATTATTTAATGTCATTCGTCATTAACGTTCAGCGTCCCAATGATTCTTCGTCGATTTCCGGAGTACATCGGAATATCGTTCCGTTGAAAATAGACAACGATTTTCGCAAACAGATTGTCAGACGTCTTCATTTGCAGCGACGAAGCTGTCCCCGCTTGTCTTCCGCATTTTTCCTGGAGACTTCCGGTTCCTCGGGTTCGCCGGGCAACTGTCAACTCTCCGACATTGGCAATCGTAATTTTCCGTCAATCTTCCAACATATCAAACTTCGAAATTCGGAATCCTTATTTTTGTCGAATAATTCAGAAGCCTCGCGTCTATCACAGTCACACTTTATCATGATCTAGTTCAATCAGCTGCTCGTTTATAGGAAAAAATCCAAGAATAAAACAGATAGGACAGATATCTAGAAGACACCGTTGGAAAGCTGTTCGGCGGGTCCAGTCGTCGGAGGGTTGCGTCCCGTGGCCCGCTCCGTCGATCCCCGTCGGACGTCAGGATCGTGGGCCAGCGGTCTATTTCAAGACGGTAACCGTGTCTATGTCGACGGGGAGGGGTTACGCAGCTAGGAAACCTATCGCGGCCGACTGGCGAAACTATTCTCGTTCGACGCAGGAAAGGTCGGCCAACGCGAACGCGTTTCCGCTTCAGCTCGCGCGTGCCGTTCACGCTCGCTCGGACAGATCTCGCCGACACGGCCGAAGAGGAAGACGGCGATCGTTTAGCCGAAGTGTCTCGACCCTCGTGATTTTCGTCAGTTTCGGAAGCTGACCCAGTCATTTAGAGAATTCAGAGAATATTCATTGTTCTTCTGTTAGAATATATTCACAAGTAGAAGTGGAGAGGAATTTAGTTTGATCAGGCTTGATAATAGATTCATGGAGATGTGAGTCAGATTAGAATTCGTCGCGAATGAAATTCGGTTGAAAAATTGACGGGCGAAAGATCGGATTGATCGCGTCGATTTCGGGGA